GCATGCTACCACGCCCGGCTGATTTTTTGATTTATTGTAGAGATGAGGTCTTGCTGCCCAGGCGGGTCTCGAACCCACGGGCTCAGGCCATCCGCTCGCCTCAGCCTCCCAAAGGCGTGGGACCACAGGCTGAGCCTAAACTTTTGTTAATCAGATAAGGGAAATGGTATCTCATTATTGGTTTTATTCTCATTTTCCTTATTACTGAGGAGATTAAATCTTTCTTCATTAGTTTGTTGGTTTTGTTCACTTTCCTTGTAAATTGCTTGTTCATGCCATGTGCCCCTTTCTCAGTAGGTTGTTTCTCTTTTTCTTGGCTATTAGTGGGGCCAGTTTTTTGTATGTTATGCATGTTAACCCCTTGTTAGTTTTGTGAATGTGTGCTCTGTCTGCCATTTGCCTTTCACTCTTGAGTATAAAAACTGAAAATCGGCCGGGCTCAGTGACTCAGCCTGTAATCCCAGCAGTTTGGGAGACCGAGGCAAATGGATTGCCTGAGCCCGTGGGTTCGATACCCACCCAGGCAACTTGGTGAACCCTCTTCTCTACAATAAATAAAAAATTAACCAGGCGTGGTAGTGCGCACCTATAGTTCCAGGTATTTGGAAGGCTGAGCAGGTTGAGACTGCAGTGGCTGTGAGCATGCCACTGTACTCCAGCTTGGGTGACAGAGTGAGACTCCAACTAAAAAAAAAAAAAAAAAACCAAAAAAACCTGAAAACCACTCTTAAAATGTCATCGAGGCTGTTAATTCTTCCTTAATGGATTCTGTATAGGAGAGCCTTAGGATTGGACATATATTTCTTATTTTTTCCCCAACGCTTTTATATTTTTTGCGTTCAGCTCCAGCTATGCCATGCAATGGCATTTTTTTGTGTACCGTGAGACAGAAGTGGGTTTTTCTTCCCCAGATGACAGCCATGTTTCCCAGGGACCTCTGCTGGCTGGAAGTGCCACCCTAGTCCTGTAGTGAATGTCCAGCCGGCCCCTCCCCTGCTGGCCTTACCCCTGCTGCCTGCTCTCTGCCAGCCCCAGGCAGCCTGGCTGTGCCAGCCTTTCCGTGTTTCTGTATTTCGTGGGGCAAATCGCCCATGTCCTTCTTCTTAGAACAATTCTTGGCTGTCTCTGCTTGTTAACTCATCCAGGTGAATTTTAGAGTAGGTTTATCATGTTCTGTTTTGTGAAGTGTCCCATGCACTTCTGAAGGGAGTTGGGGGAAACTGGAGGGGGGATGTCTGTCACCCCTTCCCCTGGGTCACCTTCTCTTCTGACTGGCTGCGCCTTGGTTTCTGTGCCCTGGGGACAGGGCAGGGGCACCTTTTCTAGGATCAACATGAAGCTCAGATCTTTTTTTTTTTAAGTTGGGGTCTTACTCTGTTGCCCAGACTGAAGTGCTGTGGCATGCCCATGGCTCACTACAGCCTCAACCTCCAGGGCTCAAACGATCCTCCTGCCTCAGCCTCCTGAGTAGCTGGGACTACGGGCATGTGCCTGCAAGCCAGGTTAATTTTTTAATTTGTTGGTAGAGACTAGGTCTTGCTCTGTTGCCCAGGTTTTTCTCGAACTCTTGGACTCAAGCACTCCTCCTGCCTTGGCCTCCCAGAGTGCTGGGATTAGAGCCACTGTGCCCAGCCTCAGGTTGTATTTCTTCCCAAAGGAACACGCCTGAGCTACCCAGGTCAGGTACACACCTGAGTGTGGCTGTGGTGGGTTTGGTCGCACACACGCAAGGCTACAGAGGCCCCAGACTGGAACAGTCTGGCACAAAACACTGCTGGCCCCTCGGCAGGGCCTGCAGCCAGGAGCAGCCCCCCGGGAGAGCGGGAGAAGGGCCGCCTTCCCCCTCCAAATCGTCTTCACTGTGTTCCAGACAAATACAACGACTTCATCGAGGCCAATCGCATCGAGGACGCCAGGGAGCGGATGAAGACGCTGCGGAAGCTGGTGAGGGCCGGGACTGCCAGGCATGGGGGGGGCGGAAGAGCGCCGTCCCAGGGCCTGGGTCCAGGGCCACCAACTCTCCGTGACCTTGGGCAAGGCCTTCTCCACACAGGGCCTCAGTTTCCCCCTCTTTACAAGAGAGGGACGGTTACAGGGTAGATTCCAGACTCCCCGAGGTCGGCAGTGGGAGCCCTTTTCGGCCTGGGGGGCCTTCACAGCCCAACCCAGCCCCTCCTTTCTCCCACCCAGATCCGGGACCTCCCAGGCCACTACTATGAGACGCTCAAGTTCCTCGTGGGCCATCTCAAGACCATTGCTGACCACTCAGAGAAGAACAAGGTTGGCGAGCCTCCGACATGGAGAAGGAGGGGGAAGCATAGGCCTTGCGGGGGTCTCTTCAGATGCTCTGAGCCCCATAGCTCAGATGATTGAAGCCCCCCCAGGCGTGCCCTCCTCAGAGCTGCCCTGCCCCTCACACCGGCCAGTGCTTCCCCAAAGCAGTCTCCTCAGTGTCCAAGGGTCTCCAGAGGCAGAGGGCACGGTCCCCTGTGTCCCCTGGATAGCTCACCTCTGATTTAGTTTGAATTCCTTGCATCGCATTTTCCTCATCAAACTCCTATGTCTTGAGGTTCTGCGGTGCGAAGACGGGGGGGGGGATAGGATTTTCCCAGGCCGGAGATGCCCTTGGGACCTTCAGCATGTCACCACTCTCAAATTTCTCACTGTTGAGCACAGACTGCTTAGGGCTGCCCTGGACAGGTGTGCAGGCTGGGTACTGCTCACGGCTACCAGGCCCAAGGATGCCTGGGGCTGAAATCTGGCCTGCCCATGCCCGTACCAGGGAGTGTCCCGCCTCCAAACTGGGTACAGGTCAAAGTGTAGTTGGGGACGGAGGCCTCGGAGGCCTGGAGCAGGAGAGCACCGGGAGGAGCTGGGGGTTGGAGTTCTGAGCATCGGCCCTGACCTGCTTCCCCCTGCCCAGATGGAGCCCCGGAACCTGGCCCTGGTCTTCGGGCCGACGCTGGTGAGGACGTCTGAGGACAACATGACGGACATGGTGACCCACATGCCCGACCGCTACAAGATCGTGGAGACACTGATTCAGCACGTAAGCAGCCCGTCTGGGTGTGCCCAGCTGCGTTCCTCTGAGCACCTCTCTCCTCAGCCCCCTGGGAGAGCGCAAGGAAGGGCACGGTGGCCGGAGAGAGTGCGAGGGGTGGCGAACGCCCCTCGGAAGCAACGGGGCGCATTTCGCGGCCGGGCAGGAGGATTCCGGAGCCCCTGTCGATCAGGGATGCCGGGTCCCCAGTAGGGGAATCAGGAGGCTCCTGAGCTTCCCAGATTCAGGTGCGAGTCTGAGGGAGGAGGACAGGCAGGGGAGAGAAGGGCTACCAGGGTGGAGGGTGGGAGAGGTGAGGCAGGAGAGCCTTCGGAAGGCGGCCCTGCGGGCAGTGTCCTGACAGAAATGAGCGGACAGGCAGAGGGCCACCCTGGGAACCAGGAGGACTAGGCCCCAGGGTTAGAGGAGGTGGGTGGGGTGGGGCAGAGCACAGGGCGTGGACCTGAGGCAGGTCCTGCGCTGGTCACCTGCCTTCCTGGACGCACCGAGGACCTGGGATCTTGTTCTTGTCCATGGAGGGAGCAGAACCCAGAGTGGCCAGCAGGGGGCGCCGGAGGCCTTGACCGTCCAGAGCCGAACCTAAAGGCAGCACCGCCCCCTCCTGGGCGTTTGGGGATGTTTTTATGACTCGTCTTGGATTTTCCACTTCCAAGTCTTGCTGGATGAATCAGATCCCCTCCTGCCAGGAGAAACAAGATGGGCAGCTGGTCAGAGGAAGGGAGGCCTCGGCCCCCGGCCTCTAGACACCGGGAAGGGAAAATCCAGTCACCTCCCATTTTACGGTTGAGGATACCAGGACTCAGAGAGGCAAAGTGACCTGCTAATGAGGGGCAGCCCCAGGATTTTAAGCCAGGTCTACCTGACCAGAGCCTGTGCTTTCCTCCCTACCCACCAGCAGGGCTGCCTCCGGGGCCCCTCCTTGAGCTGGCTTTGGAGGGAGGGAGGCCAGTCAGGGTCAGGCGGGGAGGCCGTGGGGAAACGTGGGCCGTGCTGCCTGGCCTGGCCGGCCTCAGGGCTCTGAGCCGCAGAGGGAGCATCACGGCCGATTCTCATCCAGACGTTGGGACCCCCAGCCTGGGGCTGTTGGGAGGCCAGGGCCGCCAGGTGTGTTGGGAGTCTGCTGAAGCCTTGGGGAAGCTTAACTCCCCAGTGCCCAGGGGCCTTGGGGCCTCCGGTGAGTGTGCACCCTGGGGGCAGCAGTGGGACGAGGTCTGCTGTGCTCCGGGGAAGCCACTCTGAGGTGTCAGGAGCAGCAGCCTCCAGGGGAGGGAGGCCCAATGTGCCCACTTACTCGCTCGACACGCCGAAGACCTGTGGTGAACACTCAGTGGGAGTGAATGAATGAATGGATTGTGAATGGATTGTGAATCGAGACTCTGTCAGGCTGGGCTTTTCCACGCAGAGACTCATTCCTGGACCAAACTGAGCCAATGGGCCTCCCGCTCTCTGCCTCCCAGGCACTTGGACGTAACCCGTCCCAGGTGACGTCAGGGAGTGCTGGCCCCCTCCACGGACCACCAGCCACGCCTAGATTGTTGGTTGTTCATGGACCCACTCGAAAATGTAGCAATGCCTGTTTCTCAGCCCCAGCACGAGAAGCCTCTGAGCCAATAATTCTTGTTTTTGTTTTTTTGAGGCAGGGTCTCACTCTGTCGCCAGGCTAGAGTGCAGTGGCACATTTATGGCCATCACAACCTTGACCTGCTGGGCTCAGGCGATCCTTCTGTCTCAGCCTTCCAAGTAGCTGGGACTACAAGTGCATGCCACCACACCTGGCTAACTTTTCTTGATTCATTGTAGAGACGAGGTCTCACCGTGTTGCCCGGGCTGGTCTGGAACCCCTGGGCTCAGGCAACCCTCTTGGCTCGGCTCCCTAAAGTGTTGGGATTGCAGGCGTGAGCCACCGCACCCGGCTGGCCAATAATTCTTGATCATGAGGCTGCCCATATGTCATAGGGTGTTGCACTGCATCCCTGGCCTCTGCCATTAGACACCGAGAGCATCCCTCAGTTATGACAATTGAAAGTGTCTCCAGACATCACCAAATGCCCCTGGGCAAAACCCACCCACGTGTGGAGGCTGTGAGGCCAGCTCTGAGCCAACCTGCTCCTCCTGTGTGCAGCCTTGGGCAAGTTCCCACCCTCTGTGCCTCAGTTTCCTCATCTGTATAGTGGGTGTAATAATAGCGTTTACCTCACAGGGTTATTGTGGGTACTACATGAGTTAGTATCTATAAAGCGCTTAAAACAGCGTCTGGCAGTTAGTAAGTGTTGTGTGAGAATCAGCTGCCATTGAGCCCAGAAGCCAGTCAGTCTGTGTCTGTCTGTGTATCTAAAAAGTAGAATACACACACACAAGGAATTAGCTGTTATCATCATGATCTTCATTGTTGTCATTAGACGACATCGTCAGAGACAGATCCAGATGCCGGGATGCGTGGGACCCAGCCCTGCTCAGAAGGAATGCTGTCATTCAAGGCAGTGTTTCTTCTGCCCTGGGCTCTGCCCCAGGCAACCCCAGGGAAGGAGCTCCTAGCTCCGAGTGGAGGGCTGGAGCTGTGGTCAGGGAGCCCCTGACTTGTCTTAGAAGCCGGGCAGAGCAGGGAGAGGGCATTCCAGGCAGAGGGAATGGATGTGCAAAGTGAGTGGCATGAGCTGGTGTGAATTCTTCCGGAGAGCCATGGTCACATGGAAACTTCCTGTAGACTCCCTGGTTCACGAACATTTTGGTACGCTCCAACACAGAGTAAGGGCTGACTTCTTCAGCCAGTTCTCAGGCTCCCTGGCTCTGGAAGCTGCACCTTTTGTTTGTTTGTTTGTTTTGTTTTTGTTTTTGCTTTTGTTTGAGTTGGAATCTCACTCTGTCGCCCAGACTGGAGAGCAGTGGCCGCTCCCGGCCACCGCAGCCTTGACCTGCTGGGCTCGGGCGATCCTTCCGCCTCAGCCTTCCGCTAGCCGGAACTACAGGCGTGCACTACCACGCCCGGCTAATCTTTGATTTATTGTAGAGATGAGGTCTTGCCAAGTTGCCCAGGTGGGTCTTGAACCTGCGGGCTCGGGCAATCCACTCACCTCAGCCTCCCAAAGGCGCGGGATTACAGGCTGAGCCACCGAGCCCGGCTTTTGTTTGTTTTTTTGAGTTGGAGACTCACACTGTCAGCCAGGCTGGATGCAGTGGCACGCTCACAGCCACTGCAACCTGGACTCGCTGGACTCAGGCAGTCGTCTGCCTCAGCCTTCCAAGTAGCTGGAGCTACAGGTGTGCGCCACTTCATCTGGCAGATTTTTTTGGTTTATTGTAGAGACGAGGTCTCGTCAAGTTACCCGGGCTGATCTTGAAACCCTGGACTCAGGTAGTCCTCCCACCTCCACCTCCCAAAGTGCTGGGATTACAGGCTGAGCCACCTACTTGGCTTGGAAGCCACTTTTTTTTTTTTTTTTTTTTTTTT